TGGACAATGGCGAACCCGCTCAGACTCTGTCCCGGGACCCCTCCCGGTGCAGCTGTTCGCCCCGGATCCGCTTCTGACGGTCCCGGGGCCCGAAAACGGCCCCCCGAGACCGAAAGGGCAGGAAGACCGCATCGAACCCATCGCCCCGAACCTCGCCCACCCTCCCTGCGGGTCCGAATGAGGTGCTGGGTGTCCCTCGGGCCCCCAGAGGACGCCCAAGCCTCTGCGCCTCCTCTGGGCACCGCGGCCCCTGCCCTTCCCCCGCTCGAGCCGAAGGGCGCCGCGGACGCTCTCGCGCACGAGCGTGCAGGGAGAGGGGCAGGAGGCAGAGAGGCGAAAGGCAGAGAGCCGCGGCGCAGGGAGCAGAGAGTGACTCCACCTGCGGGCGATTCTCCGCGGGACGCACAAGGACACACTAGTCACTAGTCCTCCTCCTGCCCCTCCTTCACCCTCCTCCTCCTCCTCCTCCTCCTGCTCCTCCTCCTCCTCCTCCGCCTCCTTCCCCCTCCTCCTCCTCCTCCGCCTCCTCCTCCTCCTCCTCCTCCTCCCACGCCTGGCGCCCCCGCGCCCACTTGAGCGACGATCAAGAACCGGCCTTACGCGAGATGACGTAGCGGCCCTACGCGGCGGCTCACGCGGGCCCAGCGCGGCACTCTACATTGAAGACACGAGCGCAACGACGCTGAACGATTGGTGGCCGTTCGATCGCCACATCGTTCCACATTGGTCAATTCTGGATCAGCGGCGTTCAACACCGAACGCCCGCGGCGGGGTCGCTGCCGCGTCGGGACGGCACGAAACTACCCTACCTCCTGGGCGCCCTCGACGCCCTTGCCAAGATCCTGCCCATGCCGCTGCCCGCCGCCAGCTGCGTGCTGTCCGCAGTGATCGTCGGGCCGAGGCCTGGAAGTGTCCCGGCCCTTCCCCCAGGGCCGGCGCTGCACCCTGAACCCGGAGAGTCCGAAAGTGGCCCCACCGACGCCAGAAATGGCGAACAGCATCCGCCTTCGGTTGTTCACCAGACGTCGGAGGTCTGGGAAGCCAGAGGCAAAGGGGCAGGATCAGTCAGCATCGAATCGGGCAATCGGATTGAACCGGAGTGTGCGTCGGATCGGGCGGTATCGGCACGAGGTCGAAGCATACTCGGATCGGCTGCGCCAAGATGCACCACGACGCCATGCGAGCATCGCGTCGCACTGGATCGGCCAGAGATGGTTATCGAATCGCATCGTTCGAATCGAAGTGGACCCTGAGAGGCCCAAGGGGTGGAGGCATCGACCCGGAGCTGGCGGCACTCCGCGGACAGCTCGGAGGAGAGGCCCCCGATAGCGCATCCAGACCCTTCCTGGGCGAAGGTGGGGCCGTCGGGGCCCAACTTCGGCGATGCATGGGCGATCGAGGCTCGATGCATCGTCCCCCTGCTCCTCTTCCTCCTCCTCCTCCTCCTCCTCCTCCTCCTCCCCCTCCTCCTCCTCCTCCTCCTCCTGCTCCTCCTCCTCCTCCTCCTCCTCCTCCTCTCCTCCTCCCTCCTCCTCCTCCTCCCCCTCCGCTACTCCCTCCTCCTCCTCCTCCCTCCTCCACCCCCTTACTCCCACTCTATCCCCCTTCCCTCCCCCCTCCCACCCCCCTCCTCCTCCTCCTCCTCCTCCTCCTCCTCCTCCTCCTCCTCCTCCTCCTCCTCCTCCTCCGCCTCCTCCCTAACCCTATCCCCCACTGGCGTATCCCCCTGGCTTTCGGGTCATGCCTCGGTTCTCCAGCGGCCTCCCAGGGAATTCTCGGCGAGGCGCAGCCGCTGGAAGGCACCCCGGAGCTGGAAAGCCGACGAGAATCGACGAAGGCGGGCGAAAAACTCGACCGTCGACGCCAAACGTTGCCCCTAACGTTGCCCCAACGTTGCCCCTGACGCAGGAGTGCGGGGCAACGTTAGGAGGGGCTGGCATAGGGGGGGAACATCGACCTCGCATCGGCGATACATCGCCGATAGATCGGACCTTTGGTGCGCGGCTGCAGGGGGGCCGCGGAAAGGCCAGATCCAAGCGCGCCAGCCAGTGCTCGGATGGGCCCAGTGGACCCGCACCACAAAGATCACTGCGGCGAAGGGTCACTCCTACAGTCAACCCGTACAACAAGGACGCACGAGAAGGATGCAGGGGCCTTGGAAGCCCATGTCGACACTTTGCGAGCGGGGCGCGGCCAGCGAAAGCGGCCAAGGATGGGCCGAAGGGAAAGGATGCATGGAAAAAACAACAAACAGCATAAACATAAGCTTCGGGATGTCCGCGCAGATTTCTCGGATCCGCGCTGGGCCCCCCTCCCTGGCGCGCGGAGCGCGCCAGGGGCGGCGCCGGAGGGCGCGTCCAGGGGGGGTCCACGCGATCGGTCCCTGGAAATCCGCGTCGATCTCCGAAAAGATGATGTTTGACACATCAGATTTTCTTTTCGAATTCAAGGAGTCGACCTAGGAGAGGCTGCTCCTCGAATTTGGCGGAGGAGGGAGGGGAAAAGAGGAAGAGGAAGAGAAGAATAGCGGAAGAGGAAGAGGAAGAGGAAGAGGAGGAGGAGGAGCAGGAGGGGAGGAGGAGGAGGAGGAGAGGAGGAGGAGGAGGAGGAAGAGGAGGAGGCGGAGGAGGCGGAGGAACTATGCGGGCTGACTGCACGCGTCGTCGAAGGAAGCTCCGCACGGCCGCTGCGACGGGCGCGCAGAACCGGCCTGGGTACAGGAGGTCGGACGGCGGCACCGGGGGGCCGGAGTTCGCCACGCCAGAGGCCGAGGAGCTCGGGCCCGACCGAGCGGCTGCCCTGCGGCCGCGGCGGGGAGCCGGCGAGTGACGGGCACGAAGGGCTCCAGCCTCCTCCTCGCCCTCCTTCTCCTCCTACCTCCTGCCTCCTCCTCCTCCGCCTCCGCCTCCGCCTCCTCCTCCTCCTCCTCCTCCTCCTCCTCCTTTTCCTCCTCCTCCCCACTGCGCGGACGAAGAGGAGGTCGGGATCACGACCCGCCCCAATGCAGACTACTCGAGGAACTGCGCTGTTCCTACACTCCGCCTGCTTGCTGCTGCGCTGTTGCACAGGCACGGTGGCGGGGTTTGCTGCAGGCGCGGGGTTTGCCGCAGGCAGCTGGAGAGAAAGATATGTTCATATAGATATGTATATGTGTAAAGGCACGTGTAAATGCATGTATGTATGTAAATGAATATATATATATATATACACTAGAACCTTCGCGCGCGCTTCGCGCGCGCTCAGGTCCTAAATGTGGGCACGGCCTGGTCCCACCCCATGTTCTGGAAGCGCGCTTCCGGAATACGGGGGGGCCTCTGATCATTCTCATGCGCTCATGCGCCCTATTCGTTCGCACCCTGGACCCTGGACCCCTGCCCTCTGTACCTTGCGCGATCGTCGTCGTCGATGTCTGCGGCGCATGATCCCTTTCCCATGTTCCGGAGAGCCTTGTCCGGAACATGGGGGCGAAGAGAGGCCTCGTGCGGGTGGGGCGGGGCCTCCTCGGCTTGTGTTGGCCTGATGGCTCCATGGGGGCTCCTGGGGGTCTCTGGGGGCCGGTATTTGTCGTCTCTTGGAATCTTTTGGAGGCCTCTTGGGGTCTCTTCGGACCTCCTTTGGGGGCTCTTGAGGGCCTCTAAGGACCCCTTCGGGCCCTCTTGGAGCCTCCTGGGGCCCTCTCCAGGCGGAAAACTGGATTTTTGAATGTTTGGTCGTCCTCTGGGGCCCCTCTTGGGGCCGCCTTGGAGTCCTATTGGGCTGTCTTGGGTGTCTCTTAGGCCGTCCGGGGAGCGTCTTTGGGGCCTCTTCGGCCGTCTTGGGGTGTCCTGGCGGGCCTCTTGGGCCGTCTTGGAGCGTCGGGAACGCGAAAGGGCTCGAAGGCCAAAAACATAGAAAAACATAAAGGAAAATAAACAATTATCCCTCCTCGGGGTCCTCTGGGGAGACCTCTTGGAGACTTCTTGGAGCGTTTTGGCGGCCGCTTGGGCCGTCTTGGGCTCATCTTGGTTGTTTCGGGGGCCTTTGGGGACGTCTTGGGGGCCTGTGGGGGCACTCCGGACTCGTCCTGGGGCTCTCTAGGCAAATTCACTGCACGGCCGGGACTCTCCGGGGGACCTGAAGCCACCATGGCGACGGGGGGAAGCTTGGCGAGGGCCCCCGCCCCTGGTATACCGATGTATGTGTGTGTATATATAAATATATACATATATATATATATCTAAAAAATTCATACACAATATACCCAATGGATTAGTTATAGAGTAATGAATAATAGGTAAACAGTAAT